TGCTTTGTTTCATTCACTTATTTGCTTTGTTTCATTCACTGATTATTTTTGCAATGTTTCTCTCACTTAACTGGGACTATTTTTGCATTTTTTTCTCACTTAGCTGAGATGTTTTTGTTTTGTTTCACTCACTCAACAGAGATTTTCTGCCACATGCATTTTTGCATGGAGTTCAAACACTAACATAATTTTCTTTGACTTTTCATATATTTTGTATCACTGTTTAAAATCATTGGGTTTTAGTATTTCTACCATTCTACCAACAAAATATATATAACAAATATATATATATATATATATACATATATATATATATATATATATATATATATATATATATATATATATATCTTACTTATTATAAAAACGCAGATTATGTGTGTGTGTGTGTGTGTGTCTGTACGTTTATATATTGGATCGGATTTCCTACATTTTTCAACCGATTTCAACAAAACTTCACAGGACTACGTAAAATTACCTTGCGGTGGTTTTGACAGTGCCAAAAGTTGGAAAAACACAATTGTTTTTGCACGAAATCAATTTAAAAACACGATTAAGATGCACTAATGAAATGGGGACAACTCATATCGAGTTATACTTATTAATATCGAGTTATCTAGTTATATTTATTATAAAACCCAGGTTGTTTGTGTGTGTGTGTGTGTGTGTGTTTGTGTGTTCGTTTATATATGGGATCGGATTTCCTACATTTTTCATACGATTTCACTTTGTGGCAGGTAGTGTTTCTTATTGTCTTGCACACTTTTTTTATTTTTACAGTCAGAATGCTTAAAAAATTCCATTTACAAGACAATGTTTTTGTTTGAGTTCGGGTTTGACCAATTCGTAAAAAAAAAATAAAACTAATTAAGACATGAGTGTCAGTCAACCTTAAACAATAATCTTTGTCAATTTTATTTTTCAGTCTTTATGATGGTCGACGGGCTCTACTGCTAGTGTATATATATATATATATATATATATATATTACGTTAGGAATTTCACTGGAAAAAATGAGATATTTTGCTAACAGTAGTGCGACAAGTGGAAGATTAAATATGCCATTTTGGTGAATGGAAAATTATTTATAAAGATATGCCAATGAGTGAGACTACGTAGTTTAAGTTAAGAGCAGAGACGACCATCTTTCCTTATGCCCCTATTTTGGCCTTGTGCCACGTATATAGTTTTTCATTAAATATTCATACCCAGTCGGTTGCAACCAGAAAGCTGGAAGTATTAACAGAAGACATAATATTCAGCTAAGATAATAAGTGATGAACTCGTTGGTTAATTGAATCTAAATCTTCTTAAATTGTAATTAGCTCACAAAAAATATGCATGCCACTGTTCCTGATACTGTTGCACCTGATGCAGTTGAAAAGACATTAAATAACTTTACCGTCATTTAAATTTACACTTCAATAGGTATCTATATTTGTTTTTTTTAGATTTTTCAAAATCATGGTAATGAGATTCTTGGAAAGAGAATAATATTTCAGATTTTCCAGTTGCCTCATCATAAGTATTAGGACATCATTGACATACTAACTGGGTAACACAATGGAAGGAAGAAAGAAGACGGCTGAAAGAATTTTATAAATGCCAAATACGCATTTTTCAAAAAGGTATTTTACATACCGCTATATCATACAAGAAATTATATAATGGGAGTAGATAGGTTCACCTATAGTCCGGTTCAGACTCCTCCATGTTCTTTTGAACATGAGTAGAGGGTTCGTCCAGGTTTCCTGTTTAGGACTTAGTTTCCAGTTACTTTTAAAGACTTTTCATTCTCTTTCAGTCCAAGTAGTCTCTTGAGTCATAGTGGCATTATCGACTTGATTGGGGTGAATTGATTATACATACATATATACACAACACACGCACACACACACACACACACACACACACACACACACACACACACATATATATATATATATATATATATATATATATATGTATGTATATTTATTTAAGCAATTTTTTTCATAAATGTATGTTTCATTAAATAATATAGACAAGTTTTGTATATTTATTTTAAGTAAGTCCCTTTCACATTATTGTTGAAAGACGAAAGGAAAACACCATATTGATACATGTTTAAATCCAATCTAAGCTTTCGGCTTACATAACCCATTATCAAAGATGACACACAGACGAAACTACAATAATAGTCTGCTTTTGCTGCTTGGATAAGCTCAAAGTAACGACAAACTCGTATTCACGAGAAAAGGAAACGAAAACAAAAATTAAAAATCCTTGAAGCTATACATATAAAACAGTTGATACCTAAACTGAACAAAATAAAATATGAAATCTCCACAAGCATTATTAAATGCCTATAATTTATAACAGAAGACATCGGTTTATACCAACGGATTCCCATACTTAATACTTCTCGTTTTTCACTTTCGCGTGATCATGTGTGACGTCACCAGCTGCGATGCGATTTTCTTTTATATGGGGAGTAAGTAAATGTATTATCATTAGTGACTATAAATGCAAAAAGAAAAGGGATTTTATTATTAATGTTAAGTTCATATTTGAAACTAAAGGAAATTTTAAAGTTCTTTTTTAGTGCACTTTATTTGTGTTTTTTCTCTAATTGAATGTAGATGTTATCGCAGTTATAATAAGTTTGTAATTTACCACTGAAGATAAACTTAGAAAAGGACGAAAGTATTTGACGTAAAGAAACTAAGGAAATTCATCTTAAGATCAAGAAACAGATTAGACAACTGTAAAAGTATAAAATAAGTAGACACAATATGTTTATATTATTCAATGAAATATATATATATTGTCTTGTCGAACGTAATTTCAGTGAAAAAATGAATTGAATAAACATATATATTTTTTCTTTTCTCAATAATTTTGTAGTTTTTAAACTTAATAGTTATTAATTTTGTAGTTTTTAAACTTAATAGTTATTAATTTTGGATTTAAAAATTGCCAGTTTTTAATTTTAATATTAAATTTTATCATATAATTTTATAATTATTGGTTAGTATAAATTATTTTTAATATTACACGTATTTAAAGATCTGAATAGCTATTATAACATGATTTCGTTGTCAAGCTTTTGAATCTTTCTATACTTCATTTTTGATTGGTTATTCTAGCTTTTGTAACAATGTTTCCCCCTAGTGTAGGATCGTTAATTAATCTGAAACTTTTAAAACCATTTATTTTATTTTCAACATCATCACTTGATAAGACACAGAGTGTGTTGAAACAAAATGGCTATTTTTGTAATGATTTTATAACATACTTATGTTATATTTTTTTTTTTATAAAAAATAATTATATATATATATATATATATATATATATATATAAGTATATGTATATGTGTGTGTATGTGTGTGGACGTGTATATGGAGGAGAGCACCTAAAAGTATTTAGAAGAAGGAAAATATGGTTAGAAATATAAGAGTAGGTAGGGTTGCCTATCGCTCCGTTCAGACTACTCCACGGTATTTGAAATAGATATTTATCTCTTGTTTTCAGTTTATGATTCTTTTACGATTCCTTATAAATTCTATTTCAAACCTATACTTCTAATATATTCGCATAAATTTAGAAATGTAATTTAATATTTATTTACTTCCCCACCACCTCCGATAAATGTAGATAGGTTCGCCTATTTCTCAGTACACACTCCGCCTCGTCTTTTGAGCAGGAGTAGACGTTGGACTTATTACAAGTAAGACTCCACGTCTCCTTCCTTTTCACACTGCTTGTTGTTGTATACATGTGTTGGAGTTTCTCAGTGCGATGGGAAACGTGTAAATATTTGTATATAATTTCATATATGACTCAATAGTATAAAAATATCTTTGAGAACAAAGTATGTTTGGTATTCCTCTTCTTTCAGATATTTTGTCCCGTCCGTTTATTAGATTGTTGTGATATTATGAATATAGTAAGTCTTATCAAAGGGGAAGTGAAAACGGCGAATATGCCTTTCTTGACTAAAAGTACTATAAAAATAAATAGCAGGACAGACCTGGTTCTACAGCCTTGGATAGCAACTGGTCTATAAAAAAAAATTCACAGTATAGGCGGACACGTTAGAACTATCGAGTTGAAGTAGATTTTAGAAGGAACCGGAAACTCCAATTGTATACAGGCAACAAGAAATAAATCTCTATTGCTGTTCAAAGGATCAGAGAGGAGTGTAGACCAAACGATAGTACCTATCTACACCTATTTAAATGGAATGAACATTTTAAAAAAAGTGGATACAAACTGAATAAGATGATTGATTTCCCCCAGCTATGGGTAACTAGCAGGACAGACCGGGTACTATAGCCTTCCATGGGTAACTGGTCTACCGCAGAAAAAATGGCAACCTAAAAAAGAAAAGCTGCCTCGTCTGTCATGTATCGAAAGATACATGATCGCCTAGGCGTGTATCACGCAGGGCACATAACTGACTCAAATATTTGTTTGATTTTGACGTCCCAAACACATGAAGAACTGGCTCTCTAACTGATAAATATTCTGAAGACAACAAAGTTTTGAATCTGCTGACCGATTTCAAGTTTTGACTAGTGTTCACTTACTACCACTGCTTTTGGTGACGGCATGAACCCAAATCTTCCCTATATATAAATATCAGCGCAATATGTAAATTAAACTCGGAGAAAGGAAAGGAATTTCAAAATCATCATGTTAAACTCGAATTAAACAATATTACTTAACCTGTTCGTGATTATGCCAAAAAAGTAAATATAATAAATAATACCAGATTCGGAAGATTGTGTAGCGCCTAAAGTTAATGGGAAGTTTAAATATTCAGAGAATTACAAAGTTTTTCACACCCTCTTGGTTCATACTGTTAATCTCTCTCTTTCTCTCTCTCTCTTGATCAATATTTACTCAGAATCTTTTGCTCTTTCTTTCTCTCATTCTCTCCATCTATATTTTACTCTGTTTTTCTCAGTCAATCGTCTCCCACAATTTCTAATTCTTTTGATTTATATTCTACTATGTATTTCTCTTGGTTCACTCTCTCTCTCTACCCCTCTTTCTCTCTCTTTGTCTCTTTGTATTTCTCTCAGTCAAACTTTCATTCTCTTTATCTTCACTCTCTATATACAGCTCTCTCTCTCTCTCTCTCTCTCTCTCTCTCTCTCTCAAACTCGGTTCATATTCTCTTTCTATCTAACGTTGCCTTGGTCATATCACTGTCTCTTTCTTTGTCAATGGTTCTAGCTCTTCCTTGTTCTGATTTTGAATTCTACTCTATAAACTCTTAGCTTTCATCATCTCTTTCTCTCACACCCACACGCACTCCCCCCCCCGTGTGCTTGTGTGTATATCTACTTTTTCATCTCTCGGTCCAATTTTCCCTCTCTCTTGCCATTTTCTCTCTGTCATTCTCTTTCTCAATCGCTCTATTCATCTTCACTCTCTCTTTCTCGGTAACTTTTCTCTCGCCGTCTCTTGTTCTTTTGATGTATACTCTAATTTCTCTCTTCTTCCCTCTGTGTATTTGTGTGTATATCTATTATGTCTCGGTTCAAATTTCAATGCTTTCTTTATTACCTCTCTCTCTCTCTCTCACTCTCTCTCTCTCTTTCTCTCTCTCTCTATCTCTCTCCCGTTACATCCCTCACTCTTTTTCGGTCTCTTGGTCAATATTTTACTCTCTCTTTCTCAGATCTGTCAATCTTCTCTCAATCTCACTGCTCATTTAGTTTATATTCTACTCTATCTTCCTCTGGCTCTATTCTGTCTTTGTCATTTTCTCTCTCTCTCTCTCTCTATCTATCTATCTATCTGTATATCGTTTTTCCCTTATTATTTCACGTTCCAACTTCCTTTCAATCTATTTATCTATTTAATCTTTCTCTCTCTTTCTCTCTCAGTCATAACTTTCTTGCTTTACTGTATCTATTCTCCATTCTCTCTAACTCTCTCTCTCCTCTTCTTTTGCTCTTTGTCTATATTTTTTTACTGATAAACTCTCCTCAAACGATTTGTCAATGAGCTTCCATCAGAGGCAATCTCGTCTTTTCCTGCTATTTCCCATCCCCTTGATCTCGTCTCGTGCGTAATCCACGCTCTCTATCATTCGTTCCTTGGCTGTTTACTAAGCGAGAAACACGCGGGGGCTTCTCAACATGGTCACTGTTTACGGGCCCACGCTATCCTCATGCGAAAGAACAGTATCACGCATTTAAAACCTGTGCGTCTAGCTTTACACGCCTGGGGAAAATGCAATATTGTGGCTGTAAAATATAGTCGTTTTGCGTAAACAAACCCTGCTATTCTTCACATATCAAAGAGGAACCGAACCTGGATTGCGTCCTCATCTGATAAACACTTATTGTTTTTTTCATGTTCTTAATCTTCTGATGAAATAGTTCCGCTCATCAGTTATACCTATGATTTCTTTCAGGATGTGGGTGATTATGCCGTTAGTTCGTTCGGTGAGCTGTCGTTTACCTCTGCAATACGTTCTGAGAGTGTCAAATTCTCTAAGCCCTCTTTTTTCATTATGAATTCTCGAAATTTACACTGTTTCTCTCTGAGTTGAAGTACAAATCACCTGTCTGGTACTGTTTCCCTTAAAACTTCTTTGTTGCTATTAGGTTGGTGCAAAAAATAATGACGTAATTATGAATTTTTTTGACGTATTTTTTAACGTCAAAAACGACATTATTACGTCATTATTTTTTGCACCAACCTAATAGTGTTCTCTATCCATAGAGTTTTCAGTATTTATCTATTGGTTGGTGCAAAATAATGACGTAATAATGTCGTTTTTGACGTCAAAAACGACATTATTACGTCATTATTTTTGCACCAACCTAATAGTGTTCTCTATCCATAGAGTTTTCAGTATTTATCTATTAGGTTGGTGCAAAAATAATGACGTAATAATGTCGTTTTTGACGTTAAAAAACGACATTATTACGTCATTATTTTTGCACCAACCTAATATATAACCACACCTTTGTTGTCTGGATTCTTCTCTAACTCTGTGTGGAACTTGTTCAGTTTTCACTGTCATATACCTACAGCACGCATGCCAGACGCACGCCAAGCGATTTCCAATAGCACCCAGCCACAAATGACATCAGGAAATCCGATACAATAACTTCTACAACGCAAAGAAGATATTTAGCTGTTTCAATTTTAATATATACTAAACTATATATACTATAAATTACTATCTGTCTATATTTCCGAGATGAGATATTATGTACATTATTTAAATTATTCGGACTATTGTCCTCATCTTTGTCGCCATATTTATTACAACGTTTCGGCCGTTGTACGTAACAGCCTTCTTCAGGTGGATGGAATGTCGAACTGAACCCTTTATTTCGCTCACCGGGGTAGACTGTTCTAGTTCCACGTTCCATGTTTAATGGATGTCAGTTATCAGTTACCTCCTGTTAATTTCTCTCTGAAAGTTCTCCACTGCCTTAACCGTGTATGCCAGAGAAAAGCGATAATAACAACGGAAATTGCAATACGAGCTCTGGTAAAAAAAAACATGCAATGATAACAGCAAAAAAAGCAATATGGGCACTGGTAAAAAAAATGGTTGCTGAAGACTTTAGGTTTATAATACCCAGAAATTCATACATAGATGTCCCCAAGGACACATGGCACAGTGGATAAAGGCGTTGGTTAGATCCAGTGACAGGACCCAAAGAGTGTGAGTTTAATTTGTGGAGAACATTAAGAGGGAAATTAACAGGCGATAACTGATAACTGACGTCCATTATACATGGCGCGTAGAACTAGAAAGTATACTCTAGTGAGCGAAATAAAGGGTTCAGTTTGACATTCCAACGTTGTAATAAATACGTCGACAAAGATTAGGACAATAGTCCGAATAATGTAAATAATGTATATAAATTACTATATAAAATATATTGACCTTGATTTGTATAAAAATACGTATGGTATTGGCACGTTGAATGGTTTTAAAATCTTAAGTTGGCACCGCCAGGTAGCACAGACTGATATGCAGAAGAGATACGCAAGACAGAGGCAGGAGGTTATAAGAGGTGAAAGGTTGTCTTAAGAGCAAAGACAAGTTATAATAAATTATAGACTAAAACCTTTTATATGCAATACTTAAATGTCCATGTTAGTCCGAAAGTCATGTGACACCTATATAATATAATTTCAGATGGCTGACACAAGCTATTACAGTTTGAAGAGAAGCTTCTCGATGTGTGACAGCGTCAATGAAAGTGAATAAAACTGAATCCAGTACATGGACTTTGTATTACTGTATTACTGGTTCTTCTATTGTTCCCATTCCTTTTTGGTAGGGAGTAACAACACTTTCTGACCAGTCTGTAGTTATTAGTGAAGCAAGGAAACGGAACTTCCATAGGCAGGAAGTGCAAGATAAGAAGCTGTTGAAGTAGAAGTGGCGGTTGCAGTTAGCTACTTCAACAGTAAACAGTAAAGTGGGACCGTGATGTTAATTTAGTAGCAACCTTATATTTATGATTGTTATTTCGATATTTTTTGAAGTTTAAACCATTCTAGAAGAACACTAGAAGCATACAATATTTTGGATTAATACACAAATCAAAGAAGTGTATTAAAAGAGAAATCAAAAATTTAAAGCACACTTAGCAACCCTTTTTAAAAATCGTCATTTTCCAACGTTCAACAATATTTGAAATCGTTATAAATAGCAACCGTTTCCAGAGAATCTATTTTCTGCCATTGATTGAGTTGAATTCAAGGCCTGAAGACGCACTAATGATAAAAGTAAAAAGAATTTTACGATTTTAATCGTACTATTTTAAATATTACTCGCCATCTTTATATTTTTTTTTTTTTTTACATTTCTTTAAATTTCATTTTCGTCGAATTAGAAGGAATTCTCAGGCATCATTTTAATATTTGCTTTGAAGACAGAGTTCTGCCCGATGAAGAAGTTATTTTGATCATTTCTTCTTTGGGCTACTTGAAGACTCACGCGACTCCGAGAGAAAGTCGGTGGCGGGGAAAGACAAGGGAGACTTTTTTTCAAAAATACCCCCCCCCAAAAAAAAAAACAAACAAAAAAATATATTGCTAAACAACGAAACATATCTGCTAAACATAGCGAAAACATTAGCATGATTGTATTGCGTCAGATCGGATGATTGTTTCTATATTGAAAAACAGGTTACCGAAATCAGTACAATTTGAAAGCTTGTATATTTTCCTCTGGCTTCCCCCCTCTCTCTCTCTCTCTCTTTACCTCTCCACCTCTCTATCAGTCTCTCTATTAGTCTTTCTCTTTATCAATCTCTCTATCCCTCTCTAACACTATCTCTCTCCCCGCTATCACTCTCTCTCTATCACTCTCTATAAATTTATCTCTCTATCTATCACTCTCTCTCTCTCTCTCTCTCTCTCTCTCTCACTCCCCTTGTATGCATGTCTGTATCCCTTTTTCTTTATTATCCCTCGCTGGAATTTCTCACTCCTTACATTCTCTCTCTCTCTCTCTCTCCCTCTCCCCCTCTCTCTCTCTCCCTCTCCCTCTCTCTCTCTCCTCTTTGTCTTTCTCGGTCTATATTTTATGCTCCCTTTCTCTACTCTATTTCTCCATCCAGCTCTCTCTCTCTCTCTCTCTCTGTTTGAGAAATTGTCTCACTCTGGAAGAGACAGAGACGATATATCCATACGAGAATATTTTTATTTACTAGAGAAGTACTAACTTATTTAATCCATCAACTAATCTTCTTTCTCTTTTACTTACCCCCAAAAGGATTTAGACTCTAAAACTTACACAAACGAGCTAAAAGCCGTAGGATAAGTGACTTGAATCGTACATTAATCCCCGCTCCCCTTATTATCCGACGATATGTAGCAACGATTCCAGAAGTAGTCGGATGATCGCTGAAGAGATATTAAACCAGGCCGCCATGATAGGTGTCCATTAATCCCAGATATTTGTAGGCGCATGCTCCTGTTTATATACTAGAGCTTACCGAATATATTGTTCAATATATTGTTATATACATTGTTCAAGAGCCACTAATGTAAACATAATTATAGTATTAGCTGTTTCCTTGTAAGGAAATATTGGCTTTAAATTTTATAAAGTTTCTCTTAAAACAGACGGAATTTTTTCCCCATTTCCAGTAGCTGTTATCGATCTTTCCAGTATTGATGGGGATTTCCTTCCTAACATTTTATTTGATTTAGTTTTGGTGAAATTCATTATCTTGATTATTTCATTATTTTCTCTTGCTTTTGTATGTGTTACCAATTTCAGTTTTTATTTTTCTTGAAAGTCTCCAAGTGATGTGGTTTCTGATATTTAGTATAGTTCGCTTGTGATCATGTAGCGCCAGTTCACGAGGCCCGAAAGAAGGATATTTTATACAGTAACTGGTCACGGTTAACTCTCATTTGCAAAACAAACAGAATTGACAAAGATTGCAATAAACAATAACAAGAAAAAGAACAGAACATAAAAGGGTAAAAATAATATTAAGCAAGCAATCATTAAATGTAAGGCAAAACAACAGTAATAATCCAAAAAGTTAACAGACCATGAATGGTGCTAACATATAAAAGGGGATACAAACAAGCGATCGCAGCGTTGTGGCTTCGAGACAAGAAAGAACAGAACTAAGTTGAATACGGTCTAATCTTACTGGGTAGCAAAAAAAAACCAGCATGCATTCGTGTCTTTTTGTGTATAAATTAGTAGGGGGAACAATTTTGCAAGTTATTCTCATTAAGGGTTGAAATTTTTATCTCTTTTTATAGAAAAAAAGTAAAGGTGATGTCTCCCCAGCAGGTGAAGCACACCGTATCTACGAACCCGTCGGCGTGAGCATCAGACAGACCAAAGAGTGCGTTACCAGGACTTCATATACAGGGATAAACTTTTCACCATACCTTCTACATCGGAGGCGGTGGTCACCAGAACAAACACCCTGCTGAATACGGATGTTAAATCCAGAAAACTAATTGGCGTCA